GCCCTCCTGATATAAGGAGTGCATGTGAATCCTCTGGTTTCTAAAGCCTGCATGTCCTTGAAAATTTACAATTGCTCCATTTTACAGCTGAGGAAAAAGACCCAGAGATGTAGATGATGTTTAAAGTCATAAATTAAATGGATATAAAAACCTGTATGGAAATCCTGATCTCATTCTATTTTCCAACTTTTGCGATTAGAAAGACCTTCTAGTATCTCTGCACAGGAATATTTAGGCTTGCCTTCAAGTTCTTAGGTGAACTTCAAGTCTTGTAAACTGACAAGAGGCTTTTATCTGCATTGCATTGCTTCTTTCAATAAATTTTTAAAAAACTTTAGAGATATTCATTTCAAGGGCTATAATTATAAGCCTTCGTGGCTCTTCCTGATGGTACCACAAGTGAATTATATTTATTGTACTTTTAAATGAAAAGCAAAAATTGAATGAAACAAAAAATTCAGAGATTACATCTTTGCATATGTTTGTAAGTTTACTTAAGGCTTAATTCTCCTGGCCTAACTTGAATTTCTAGCTAAGCTCCAATAAATGCAAACAGTGCCATGCTTCAGATGCTGAAATGGATTCATTCCTAATGTGGATAAAGCAACACCTGTTTTAACACTGATCCTGGCTTTCTAATTGACCAATATGATACTATTAGTCTGTTGCAATGAAGGAAACTTCCATAGTAGACTTAGCTGGTAATACTTGATGAGGAAATGAAGAATAAGTTGAGAAACTTAGATTCTAGGGGTGTTATCTACTAGCCGTTAACTGTTGGAAATTTTGACAATAATTTCTTTCTTTGTTCTTTGAAGTTTCCATGTTGTAGTTATGAAACTTCAGTGGCTTTTTTTTTTCTGGGTGCTTTTCCAACTGTTGTACTGAATCTAAGGATCATCACACACCAGGTTAGTGGGACAGCATTGTAAGATAACTCCTTCAAGGCTTTGGCCATGTCTCAGAATGAATCTAAAATCCAGGAACTAGAAAGGACAACTCCATATATCTTAAATAGCATTTGTAATGGCCACTTATTTCTGACTTGATTATTTCTAGAGACAGGGAACTCATCACGTCTTTACCATCATTATGATCATCTGAAAATTACCATTTGTTGAGAACTTACCTTGAGTTGACATGGATGACATATTTAACCCTTTTACAGAAGAGAAAATGAAGGTTAAAAAAACTAGCTCTCAGTTTCACATCAGTAGAGATAAAATTAAACCCAATACTGATAGTGGTTTTGTGATGAGACTCTATAGCCAATCTCTGCCTACTAATTGAGAAGCCACAGTTACCAGATTGCATTGTTTTCATCAAAGGGATCAAAAGGAAGAAGTTTCGTTTCTTTCTCCATATCTCAACACTTCAATGCTGATTTAACCCAATTCCTTTATCATACCATGCTGACAATACAGTGACTTTTCTGGGTCCTGAAAATTTTGTATTTAGTGCATCTATTACATTACTGTTTTTCTACTTTTATCTCTATTTTTAGAGATGCAGTGGAACGTACAGGCTCAGAGCATGGCCTGTGATGTTATGCTGCTTGTGTCCAAAGACAAGCTCTCTCCAGTCAACTAGCTATATGATTCTGGTGAAATTCCTTAACTTCTCTGTTTTCTCATCTGTAAAATGGGGATTTTGTGAAGATTTAAAGAGTTAATTGATGTAAAATACTTAGAGCACTAACTGACACTTGGTAAATGAGATAGGAACATGTTTTCCCTTAGTATCATTGCTATATATCAGCCTGGCTTGATTCCCAGCCTCTGTAGTCCTCAGTTTTGGCAAGCTGGGATTGGTTTGGGCAGCCTATCTTGAGGCTAAACGTGTTTCAATAGCACTTCACTCACATTTTGGAGCTTACTCCAGTTTCACCCAGAACCTATATCTCTTTCCCATCACTTGATCCACTTCCCCACTACTCCAGTCTTTTATGGCATTACTTCCCTGCTTACAACCCAGGATGGCTGCCCACAGTGGGTCTACACTATCACAACACACAGAAATGGACTTAACTCTACCTGCCCATCCTTTTCACCTGCCACATTTCACAGTGTTTCCTGTGTTCCAGCCTCTTGGAATAGCTTGCCCACCCCTGAACACTCTTTCTGGAGGTGTTTACCATCCCATTCCTTCCATTCAGAAAGATCTATCTCTTACCCATATGAAGAAAAGCCCATACATCATTCCAGATGCAGCTGAAAGCAATCTTCTTTGAGAAATATTCAGAAATAGTTGTCTTTCCTCTTTGGATTACCAATACTTTATATTTCGCTGTCTCTTAGCTTGTGTTACATTAGTGTGCTATGATTTACCAGTATATCTTCTCTATCACCTCTGCTCTTGGGCTCAGTGGGGGAAGGGATAGAGCTTATCGCATTGACAGGCCTTGTCGCATAGACAGGGCATATGATACAGTGAATTAGAGTGTAAATTCTGCAGCCAGACTTCTGGATTTCAACTAATGTGCCAACTCCCTTACTGTGTGGCTGTGAGCAAGTCACAGTGTCTCGCTCCTTGCCTCAGTTTTCTCATAAGTAAATTGACAGTAATAACAGAAATTGCTTCATAAGATTATAAGTACATGCATGCTAAGTCGCTTCAGTCGTTTCCTATTCTTTGTGACCCTATGGACTGTAGCCTACTAGGCTCCTCTGTCCATGGGATTTTCTAGGCAAGAATATTGGAGTAGATTACCATGCCATCCTCCAAGGGATCTTCCTGAACCAGGGATCGAACCTGAATCTCTTTTCTCCTGCATTGGCAAGTGGGTTCTTTACCATTATCACCACCTGAGAAGCCTGTTAATATTATATACCATATTCTTTATTTCCTATCTCAGTACATAGCATGGCCCATAGATATACTCTACCACTATTTGGTAACAGTAGGTGAATTCCCAATTTAAAAAGTCTTAGTTTCCATACAAATTCTCATTTTATGTCATAGCTTAAAAAAAAAAAAGCAAACAATTAGAACTCACTTTGGTTTCCATCTAAAACTTTTTTTCTTGTTCTTAGTAAACCAGGGCCCTGTAAGCCTGAAACCTTTCTTCTGCCTGCTTTATCCTTTCCAGGAATTGGAGTCCAGACCTCAAACTTGGTCTTTGCTTCTCATCCCGATGGCCCCTGCCTTTTCCTCCTTTCCCCTCTTGGCATTACCCTCCCTACTTCTCTTGCATGCTGTTTTTATGCCCATTGATTAGTCCTTGTCTGGATTGTGCCCCACTGTTGTGCATCTGTTTGGGAATCCATTAGCTTCCTGGCCTGATCTGGCCTTGTCTTCAGACCGGCCTGGGACCTGGGATCTTTTGCTGCGGTGCTGCAATGCTTGCACCTGGACAAACCTCTCCTCCAGAAACAAAACACAGGAAAGCTATACGGACTAAAAATAACTATGTGCATGTGCAATTGGGGCAAATTATGGACAGAAAGATATAAAAGACCAAAAACCTTAACTGCCACTTCTGAAGAGCTGGGAGGGAAAACCAGGGGGCTGGCTGCAAAAGCAGGGTACTGAGGATGTGCCCTGCACTCAGTGCCACCAGAGGGATGGGCAACCACTTAAGCCACCCTCTGACCTGACTCCTGGACACACTCCTACCCTCATTCCACATAAGGAACAAACTCATTCTCCCCTGGGAGAGCGAAGAGCAAGGGAAACTGTTACTTGTTCTCATTTCCCTCTGATGCAGTAGGAGTCCCAATAAAGCCTTGCCTGAATTTCTTGTCTGGGCCCTGGTCAGTTTCTACCGATTGGGGAAGGCTAAGAACCCTGGTCAGGATTAGTTTCACCAACGCTGGCCACATCCTTTGTAGATCAGCCTTGTTCTAGTCTCTGACCTTGCCCACCTGCTCTGTCCAGAGGATTCACAGGGTTATACCTAAACACATTTCAAAGCAAAACAGCAAAACTGAGGAGGAGCTAATTCAGCTTGTAATTTGGATATCATCAGCTATTTTGCTTCATTAAAAGATTTTATATAATGCTATTTTCCTTTGAGTTGCTTCTTGGAGTAACCTAGAAAAAGTATATGTAGGGTAGAGAGCAAGGGCTTCCCTCATAGCTCAGTTGGTAAAGAATCTTCCTGCAATGCAGGAGACCCTGGTTTGATTCCTGGCTTGGGAAGATCCACTGAAGAATGGGTAGGCTACCCACTCCAGTATACTTGGGCTTCCCTTGTGGCTCAGCTGGTAAAAAATCCCCCTGCAATGCGGGATACCTGGGTTCGATCCCTGGGTTGGGAAGATCCCCTGAAGAAGGGAAAGGCTACCCACTCCAGTATTCTGGCCTAGAGAATTCCATGGACTATGGGGGTCGCCAAGAGTCAGACTTGACTGAATGACTTTCACTTTCACTTTCAGGGTAGAGCTAGGAGATGTTCAAAATATTTAGTCATGTATTTTGAGAACCAAATCAGCATGAGTGCTAGAAATATGCAATTTATTTAGTTGTAGTCGGGTGTTCCCACTGAATAAGCATTCAATAATGGAAGCTACTATGACACTCTTTTGGACACCTATTAGGAACAAAAATATCTTTTTTTTTCATAGCTTCCTTTTCTTTATACAGATCCATTGCTATTAATATTGCCAGATTAAATATTAGACACCTGGTTAAATTTGAATTTCAGATAAACAATTAATCTTTTAGAGTATGTCTCAAATAAGTCATGGGACATGAAGTTAAATGATACCTTGCTCATCTAAAATTCAGAGTCAGCTGAGCATCCTGACTTTTTGTTTGCAAAATCTGGCAACCCTATTTACTGTGTCTAACCCCAGATTGTACTGTCCTGACCTGAATGTTGTGTCCAGCTTCCTCACCATGAAGTTGAAATTCTCTGTATTCTCAGCACAGTGCTTGGCACACAGTAGGTGCTCAAGAAATGTTTGCTCTCTTTTCTTTTATTTAAAAAAAGAGATTAAAAATGAAAAGCAAATACAGGGAAAGCAACACAAATAAGGACAATCTGAGCACTCTGTTTTCCTTAGACAATTGTGATGGTCTCCTGAGGGATCGAGACCTGTGTGCATCAGTTGGTTCCAGTGGGATGACCAGGTGAGTCTGTTTTATCCCATTTGCTGGAAAGGAACAAACTTCACAATAGAGAAGCTGAGATGCAGCATTGTGGGCAGCCTCTGGAAAGGCGAGGTGATGGTAGGTGCGGTGCTGCTGTAACTGCATGGAATGTATTGCCTTTCTGTTTGGCAGGGCAATTGGGCCATTCCTTAATAAGCCTCTCTAGGAGCCACAGTCCCAAGCCCTCACTTTCCCACAGTGCTCAGGACTCTCTCACTGAGGCTGTTAGCACCAATGAGGTGGGACGCAATGTGGTCCCGGACTACTTGGGATCAAAACCTCAGTGCCTGAGATGTAAAGTCCCAAATCTTTAGCTTAGCATTTCAGGCAATAGCTGCCACTGGCATCCCAGCCCCCCTCCTGATTCCCTGCATGCCAGCCACACCGGGGACATCCAGTGTTCCTGCAAAGCCTTGCTTTCTCAGACCTCCAGGACCTCACTTCTGCCTTCCCTTCTTCCTGAGATGTTCTGCCCTTTACTTTGCTTCTAGACAGATATTAAGCCTCCTTACAAGTCACACTTTAGAAGTTCCCAGTGCTTTATGAAGCCTGTCCCAGCTTCTTACCATCCTGTCAAAATTCTAGCACATTTCTACCTTTGCTTCTGTCCAAAGGGGAAAAAAGTCTGTCTTTTGGGCTACAAATGAGTCAGTGATCTTTATGTGTTAGAAAATGCATTCAGCCGTGAATTATCGAAACTTGCCCCAAATGGCTGAAAAACCAATTGGGAGTTTTATTTTTCTACTTAAATGTTTGGAGGTTGGCATTTCAGAGCTGATATGGTGGGCCAGCCAGAGATTAGGCTATTTCTGTTTTTCTGATGAGCTCTCCTTGACATTGTATCCTGACCCAGGGAATGTTTATTTCTGAGAGATCTTGAGGGCAGGGGCTACATCATTAATTCATCTGACAGTTTTTAAATTGCTCATATCCTTGTCACTATGCAATAAATGCTCATCAAATGAGTGATAAATAAATGATTCATTAATGAGGTAATTTATCCTTTGGAGACAGAGAAAAATGCATATTTGATGATAATAAACACAACCTCAGAGCCATGACATATAGAATTTTAAGAACATTCAGTTCTTTATTTGCTTCAGATATCATGCTTTGGTTTATCTGGGCAAATATCCATTTGTCAAGGTCTTATTGTCTGATCTCAAAAATTAAATTTAGGATATAGGCAGCCTGCAAATTTTAATGTATTTTTGAGTGTATTTTTAAAAACACATGTTATAAAGTGGTGTTTGCTTCTTATGCAAACAATGTTATAACTGACATACTTTCAACCAAGAATTTGTCAACAAATACATCACAAAAATGATGGTTAGCAATATAAAAACACAAGGACATGGTTAGCGATATAAAAACACAAGGACACAGCAATAATTTAAAAGTGCAAAATTATGTCTTATGTCCTAGAAAATGAACATATACTTACAGCAAATATTTATGAAACAAGAGTCCAGTGTACTATAAATTGTGTATACTACACATAAAATGCAACTCTATTGTGTCATAAACAGGACTAAAACTAACATGTTAGCCATAATAATGCTTGAAAGCTTTGGACTGGATCCCATTGATCTTATAACCTTAGGGCTCACCACAATCTCTATCACATCGAAGATACCCAACAAATGCTTGTGAATTTAATTAAATGGAATCCATGTAGAGCTCACAAAGCACTCTCACATCCATTGTTTTTTTTTACTGTCAATAATGCCCTGTGTGTTTAGTAGCATAGAGAGTATCCCATTTACAGGTAAACTGAGGCTCATCAACAGTTGAGTGATTTGTTTTCTCCAGGTCAAAAATTTAAGTTGTGGTGCTAAATGTCTTGCCTCGTTTTTTCAGCTGAGTTTGATGTTTTGATATTGGCATCATTTATGACTCACACGACTCAGGTCTGCAGATAGAAGCTTGAAAATCCATGCCCTTTTTCTCTCAATAAGTTTTCTTGAAATGGAATAGAAGAAGCATTCAAAACCATTTTATTTACATTACTATTACCTTAGTTTTATTTATCTTAATATAAAACAATACATGAGAGGAATAAATTTGCTATCGGTGAGTATGATGAAAATGGTGTCTTTCTCCCTGCATGATAATTTTGACAGGAAAGTCTGGCCTAAAATGTATCCCCAGTTCTCTTATACTAGTTATTTTTATTAAGAACCACAGTTTGCCATTAGGATAGAAGGCAACAAATAAGACTAAGCATTGACTTCAGTCTGCTTGACCTTTCTGTATGGGACTCAAAGTGCTTCCCATTAGCGGAAAACTAAACACAAAAATCACTACTGAAATAATTTATAGTTTTATATGGCACTCCCAATGCATCCATCAAGGATTGCTAAAGCAGGAAGAGAAAGGTATGCCGAGAGGGTGCCCTCTACTGGACAGTGGATGTGTTGCAGCGCTCAAAATCATGATTTTTTTGTTTGTTTTCGACGTCAGACTATGCATTCCATTCTCTTTGTTTCTTACTGCAAAAGTAATCTTGGAAAGTTACTGAACTTTCTGTGGTATGGTTTTCTTGTCTGAAAAATGGGGATGAGAAAAGTACTTACTTCATATGATTGTTGTGAAAGCTAAATGTATAAAAATTATAAAAATTGTATAAAAATATAAAAAATGTAAAGCATTGATAACTATGTTTGGCAGGAAGCAAGAATTTAATAAATGGTAGCAAGTACTGTGATTCTTATATATTTTTTAATAATGGTGGGAACTTTTCATTGTCTGCCTAAAATACATTGAGGGGAAGGAAACCAGATAATTACACTTATTATGGATGTTAGTAAAATACAAATTAATGGTATCTGCCTATAAAATCGGAGAAGGCAATGGCACTCCACTCCAACACTCTTGCCTAGAAAATCCCATGGATGGAGGAGCCTGGTAGGCTGCAGTCTATGGGGTCGCGAAGACTCGGACACGACTGAGTGACTTCACTTTCACTTTTCACTTTCATGCATTGGAGAAGGAAATGGCAACCCACTCCAGTGTTCTTGCTTGGAGAATCCCAGGGATGGGGTCGCACAGAGTCGGAAACGACTGAAGTGACTTAGCAGCAGCAGCAGCCTATAAATTAAAAGACTATCATACACCATAAAATGCTAATGCTTCTGTTTACAGGAATTCTGAAATTCACAATTGGAGTCAAAGCTATACTCCCCACCAGATTGTAAACTATAAGAAGAGAAGACCCTCTCTATTTCAGTCACATTTGTTTCTCAGACAATTGGCACATTGGAAGTGTTCAACAAATACTTCTGCAATGAGTGAGTAAATAAATAGATAAAAGAATTAACAGCATTTCCAGAATGTGGCTTGTGACTAAATTATACTGTAAGTACCCAATGCATTAAGTAGCCCCTGTACATGTTGGCCATCTTGAGTTTTCTATGGCATGTATTAACTTGACATGTTGATGTACTCTCATGAAATATAGTTTATTTCAGTTTATAAAGATATGGATGTGCTATAAATTTTATTAGTGCTCATGGCTAGTCTCCCAGTTACTGAATTCCCAGTTTTCCACATCACCTCTGCTCTTTTAATTACATAAATCATAGTGGAAAAAAGGGTATCATTTAAAAATATGCATTTAAATTTTCCACTGGGCCTCCATGGTGGCTCAGCTGATAAAGAATCCACCTGCAATGCGGGAGACCTGGGTCCGATCACTGGGTTGGGAAGATCCCCTGGAGAAGGGAATGGCTATCCACTCCAGAGGATAAAATTTCATGGACTATGGAGAATTTCATGGACTGTGTAGTCCATGGGGTCTCAAAGAGTCAGACACGACTGAGTGACTTTCATTTTCACTTTCATGAAGGAAACGACATCCATAACTGTTCAGTAGGGACCACACGTTAAAGGATCTATCTGAATGTGATCTCTGCAAAGTGTGATGACTTTTCTGAATAGAGAGGCTTTTTATTTTACGTTCTGTCATGGTCTTGAAGATTTTGCTGCTGACCAACCACTAATAATATACAAGTAACTTAAGGTATTGTGTGTAGGGGTCATTTTGTGTGGTGCCCTTCTCTTTGGTTTACTGACTGGGGAAGATTAAAGAAATGTTCATTCCCTTGTTAAGGGCTTGGTAAAGCTTGGGAAGTACTTTTATGATCTAGGGATTTTGAAACTTCTGTTACAATATTGATACAGAGATGAAAACAAGTATATATTAGTTGAGTCACATGTTGAAATGTATAATTCTGTTTGTGTTGGCAGACTCTGTGAACACTGGGTGCTCTTGGGCCTCCAAGTTTTATTTGCTTATTGGCTGTTGGGAACTTGATATTTTGCCATGTAAATAATGCTAGCAGATGAGATTGAGAAAACGAACACCTCCCTCTTTACAACCTGCCCTGCCCCCACAACCTGTGTGTTGTAACCATCGTTTCCGTGAAAAATCTCATTTCAAATTCCAGCTCCTCCTCATGCCTAATTCTGTGCTTAAAAGCAATAACATACTCATTAAGTGTTAAAAGACCAAGTTATGTCAAGAAGAGTTCTCTGGAGCACCCTAGACCTGGGATTGTCATCTGCTGCTGACTTTTTCTCTATGGCCTCAACTGCCAAAGGAAAAAATTACATGCATTAGCATCAGTAGCAGGAGAATGGGCAAGAAGCCCCTAAATCCTAAGAATCTGTGAAATGAAGGTAGAAATAAAATGCTAATACTTGATAATGGAATCAAATACTTGATAACAGAAGCCATTTTTCACGGATTTCTCATTATGTGCCAGGAAAGGTGCAGAACATCATATACGTATCACCTTAATTCTCAGAAGTCTCCTTGGATGAGTGAGGCGTCTAAGATTGAGCATAAGTAGCTTGTCCACAATCCCAGAGCTACGCATGCCCAAATGTTTTGGCTCCTGGTTTCATTTCTTTTTCTCTCCTGGCCCAGCCCACAAAACTATTCTGCCTGGTGACAGGTTATGAGCCTGCAGAAGAGGCCAGACACACTGCTGCTGAGTTGAGGCTTGTCAAGTTCGACGAGGGAAAGAGAATTGGGAAGCCTCCTGTCTGTGGGTTAAGGTCACACTAACCTCACCCACTTCTGCAAAAGCAGATTCATGGGAGCCTGTGACCCCCATGTCTAGGCCTAATTGTTTCTAAATTTAGGGAGGAAAGAATATGCTTAAGTACAGCCTTTGAACCCAATGTAAGCAGAGTGTTGTGAGTGTTTTATATTTGTTTGTTTTTGTTTGGTTGTTGTTTAGATATTCTCTTTTGTGACTATAGATCTTGCAGCAAACAGCAATATATCAGCAAAAAGATCAATTAAAATACAGGGGAAAAAAATCTAAACCAACACTTACCCATGGGAACAGAGCCTCAGATTTCTACACTTAAGCCTGCCTTAAGCCACCCTTGCTGGCTGGAGAAAGTGACATTTACACAGAAATGCCCTGCAGAAAAAAGAAACAAGAGTTGAAACAGAGCCACCATAAACATTGCGGTTCATAAACCTGAAAACAGGAAGGGTGACCTTTCCAAAGGCTAGAAATGTGCTTTTCAGCCTCTAAAATTCAAACCATTTTTGGTGTCAAAATGCCCTCAAGCTCCAAGTTGCTGTTTTCATAAACATGGCTGAGTTGAAAACTCTTGTAGCTGAAACTTCAGGTCTTCAAATGAAACCAGTACAGGATCTGGGCAGGGAAATGTTTCCCTGGAGGTGGTATGCACTGGCCAGGGACCTTTCTGAAAATCCTTTGTCACAGTCTCTTTCTTTCTGCAGCTGACAGATGGAAAACTGTGGAAATTAACAGCCAACCCTTTCAACATTTGCTCTCTAAAGGGCTCACCTCAATGCCATTCCTTGGCCAACTAAACCTTTCTCAAGTACCACTTTGTACCAGAGATGATAGACCAGCAACAACTCAGTAGTGCTCGCGTTTCCCAAGGTTTGGGTGCAACCTTGGTGGTCAAGAGAACTAGGAAAGTTTAATGGATCAACAGGAAGACTTGGAGAAGTGAGGGATATCTTCAATGGCGTGAAGGGCTCTTCCAAGGAAGAGAGGTGTAGTGGACCCTTGGTTTCCATTCTGATGTACTCAGATCCCTTTCCCATTCCTGTGATCTCCTTCCCTGGCTTTGTGCTTTCAAAGGTTCACACCTCTAATCTTCCTTCAGAGGACTTCTCAGATTACTGAGCTACTTTGCCCACAGATGCATAGAGAAGTACGGAGGGTTTGTATTAATAGCTCCAGGGAGACCGTTTGTTCAGTGACTGAGCCATGGCAGAATATTGATGTGAGAGCCTCAGTTTCCTTGCTACAAATAGAGATAAAGTTGGGAGATGTAACTTATGTTTTAGGGCGCTCCCCTGCAGGATCAGTTTGGAGCTACCCTCCAAGGGACTTTGCCTGATGCTGTTCCTTCCCTTTTCCTTGGGAGAGAGTTTCTCTCCCAACTCCCTGACAAGCTCTCCTGGGAGCACTTGCATAATAAATCACTGGCACAAAAATCCTTACTCAAGGTCTGCTTCTGGCTGAGACTTACTTGTTGGTTCTGGAAAACAAGATTAGGACTAGTGGATAATACAGAGAAGTAGACTTTGAATCGATACAAGGAAAAATGTTTTACAAATTGAATTTCTCAAATATTATTTGTAAGAAACTACCTAAAAATATTTAAATAGAGACTGGATGAATAATTATTGGTGCTGTACTCTGTGAGTTCAGGCATTCAGTATAAAGTTGTTTTAAGCTTTCAGACTAGTACCTTATCACTGGAATAACATAGTATGTGAATGAATCTTAAAGTTTCACAGGTTAGCACCACATTTGAACAGTATTCAAATTATTGAGGTTTTAATAAAACGACTCATTATGTCAAGCAGGACATGCAGCTAAATGGGCAGTACAGTCCAATGAGGACGATTACTGTAGGTGACGGCATAACTCCAAGTAAGCTCCAAGTTAAAAATTTGTGAGAAGTAAGATGAGAAGAACCTCACCTTACAAGAATGTGAAAGACTGATTAAAACAGGAAATATGCTTTAAAAAAAAAAAAAGGAGGCAGAGAGCTGCCTGGTGACTGAGTGAATGGTGAATGATCCGCATTCGCAGAGAGGATACCCAGTAATTGTTTTGACATCACAAGAGACTGGTGGACTGAGGCAATGACTGGGCTCACTTTTGTTGACTTGATTACTGGTGTTTTGAGTCCTTTAATTTTCTAAGATGGCCACCAAATTCTAGTGTTTGAAATCCCACCGACACATACAAAACCAATAGCTGTTTTTTAATATCATTTTTTCCTCCTCAACCATCAATGGCTCCCCTCTGCTTAGAGGTGGAAGCTTCTATTTTTGTATCTGGGCAGACACAGACTGTTACGCAGCCCTGGGAATGGGTTTTCTGATATCAGAGACAGAATTTTGGTCTTGTGTGGATCTAGAGAGAGGAAGAATGGAGTGTCATATTGGGTGTAGTTCAAATGTGATGAAGAGGTAGATTAAGAGAGGGTGGGGTGCAGGTCAGAGACTGTATCAAGAAAGAGAAAAGCAAAAAAATCATGAAAATCCAAGTTAACAAAAAACAAAACAACACAAAACCATAGAGCTAAAATGTTGAAAAAAAAACAGTACAATTGCACTAAGGGGAAATAATAGAGGTGGGCCTGAAATATCTTACAAAACAGAGTTGGAGAAAGTTCTGCCAAATGGCACCTTCCCAGAAGTACAGGGTGGTTGGGAACTTTGATACCTCCGCCTTCTGGCCTCAGATCTAACCACATAAAATTTAGACTTACTTCTAATTACTCTGTACTGCTCTAGTTTCGCTGCTTTACTCCAAATCACTTATTCATTGGTTTTACTCATGTAATTATCCCCATCTCAGCCAAACCAAATCCTATCCATCCCTAAGGACCGAGCTTTGGACTCTTCTCCACCATGGATTTTTCCACAATTTTTCCAGCCTGCAGAACTCTTTAATATCTGTTGACACCAAAGCACATTACTCATACCCGCTCTTTGGCTCTTGTCATGAAGTGCTTTCTGAAATTATCTCTTGTTTTGGTTTATGAGGCCTTGCTTATTGAGTATTTGTTTGCTTCTCTCTTTCATGATATGTTCAATTACTTATGCCTTGACTGCCCAAATTGATCAGTCAAGACAGTCATTTACCATATACACAAATTATATCCAATTGGGTTGTAAGATTTGCAAATGAGAAAATAAATGCTGCGTGTTGAGAGTTCAGGAAAAATTGCTGAGGACAGGTGTGGGTTAGGAAGTCTTGATGGAAGTGGGGGAAATGAACTCTGCCGTTGAAGGATGTAAACTTCAGAGTCAAAATCTTTCAGCATAGTGTGTAGGAGCATGGAGTGTGTAGCCTCTGTAGAAGAAAAACCAACAGTATTAATGACAGCAATAATTGGCAGTGTTTATTGAACACTGTGCTAAGTACTTTATGTTATTTCATTTAATCCTTCAACAATTAAAATTTTGTGGTAGGTATTATCATTCTCATTTTAAAGTTGAAGAAATTGAGACTTAAAGATGATAATTGATTTGTCCAAAGTCACTTACCCTATTAAGTATGAATGACCAGATGCCAAAGTTATTTTAATTATGCTGTACTTTGTCCCAGTAATAGTGGATTCATGTATGAGATTTGCATTTTCAAAGGAATGTGAAAATTGATTTCTTGAGCTTTATTTGCCATATTAGGAAGATTTGGAAGCTCTAAGACCAGGATAGAGCAGAGACTAAAATTTATGATGTAACTGCACAGTTTCATTTCTAATTTTCACATTGTGTTCAGCCACTTTGTATTCCCTCAGAACATCCACATGGGAGACTTCTTTAGAGTATCATTTAACCACTTGTCCTTGGGCTTCTCTGTTTACAAATAGTGACTTGGAATAGTGGAAAAGAAGCTGGAGATAGTCCTGCTCCTACTGCTGAGAATCATGGGCAACTGAGATTAGAGATCAAGATGACTCCTGCTTTACAGAACTACTTAATTATGTAAAATAACATAGAACTATACCAAATAATAAATTATTAATAATTATTAATTAAAATTTGAGAAATACAAGCATTTATTACATTATTTGCAAACTTTTTCACATTTTATAAAATTATGTATATATTCAATTATGGGCTTCCCTCATAAATTATGGGCTCAGTCAGTAAAGAATCTGCCTGCAATGCAGGAGACCTGGGTTCTATTTCTGGGTCGGGAAGATTCCCTGGAGTAGGAAATGGCAACCCACTCCAGTATTCTTGCCTGGAGAATCCCATGGGCAGAGGAGCCTGGCAGATTA